TGGTGGTGCCGAGAGTTCACATCTCATGAAGATATGGCACTATATGTCAATAAGAGGAGCAATTTTTCAACTGTTTTTGCGGCCCGAGCTCAGGGTCTTTCGGTTTCGGAAGTGGTAGCTCAAACCACTGGAGGAAACGTCATGTTGACCACCAAAAAGGCACACAAAACTGACCCTGGTGATAAAGTTAAGAGTGATCTAGCTGCCTTGCTACGTTCAGTATTCAGTAAGCGCCTGATTTCTTGCCGGTGAGACTGGATGATTATAGCTGACTCGTGTTACATATTCACCTCAGGTAAGTTGACCGGCAAGGAGCAAGGGTTTCCTTGTGGCCCTGACCCCGAAAATAAGCTACTTGATACTTACAACATCAAGATTATTCAATTACCGGGATCCAGCCTTCCCAAAAAAATTCTTGAAGCTAAGGTTCAATGGAATGAACAGCCGTAGGAGTTTGTGGCTGAGTGATGTGCAGGCTAACCTCTTCAGGATGAAAAAGGCAGACCCGGAATCACCAGAAGAATCCCACAATTTGAACACTGATACTGATGCACAGGTAATAATGACACAAGATAATAATATTGATGATTATACAATGGAGAGTTTGGAGGAGGAGGAGGAGGAGGAGGAGTGGAATGGATTTGGTGAACTTGATGATGAATGAACTTGGGGCAAGTGCGAGATGAAATGGATTATTTTGTTCTTTTGATCTTATGATCATATTTTAATTTCATGATTGTTAATATTCACACCAAGGTGAATATTAAACTAGCGCACTCAAAGATAATTTGCAGAAATGTAAATTCACCTGAGTGTGAATGTCATTTCAAAATTCACACTCATGTGAATCAGTGTGAATTTCATTTCAAAATGAACACCTAGCGCACTCAAAGATTAGTTACTCAGGTCAATGTAAATTCACCTGAGTGTGAATGTAAATTCACCTGAGTGTGAATGCCATTTCAAAATTCATGCTCATGTGAATGAAGACATTCAAATTTCAATGATGATACACAGTACCCGTATGAGGCACGAAGGAGGGTATGAAGGTCCATGTCAGTACCTCGTCAGTGAGGATCGTGGGCAACGGCCTGACCGTTCTGCACGGGTTCAGATGATGGGCTTATGTAAGCCCGATCCAGGGCAGAACGGTCAGGACCTGAGTCTTGAGAAAGAGGAATGGGATACAAGATGTCTCATCCTGATCCCTCTTCCCCCTTTCGTCTCCTCAAGATCTCATCGTATCCTTCCATCAGGATACTCACCGTTGTCATCACTTCCTCCCCCCTTTTCTCTCTCTAGCTCGACTTCTCTCATTTTTTCGTATAAGTGGTATTAAATTTAATAAATCGTACATCCCATTAAAAACTCAAAGATTTCATAATGTCAGAACAAATAACCAGAAAGAAGAACGTTACCGGAGAGAAGGACTCAGAAAGTAATACGGTTACGAATATGCTAGTAGGACCCCAAGTGGAGCAAGCAAGAGCTTCCGGGATCAATCAAGATATTCATGGAGGTAATAAGGACACCAACATCAATCAGAACCAAGGAGATTCGGTTAACCCCAAGAATCTCGGATCGATTTCAAACTCAAATGAATCGGTGAAAACTAAAGATAGCTCGTCTAAGAATCAAGGAGATAGTACCAGGAGTGGTAATCTCGATTCAACACAAGAGAGTAAGCAATGAGATTTTGATTGTTTTTGATAAACAAAAATCTATAAATATTAACAAATATTTGCCTTTAGAAACGATTGAAGGAACTAATAATCCTAATCCAAAATCATCGAATGCCATAATCATAACGGAAGACCTAGTCGACGATTGAAGTTCAGACAATTCGAATGACATTATAGATTTGAACTTGTTGGACATTAGTAAAGTACGGAATGCGAGATGTGTCAAGGTGACAATGCAAAAATCAAAAAACAAAAATCACAATTCCCGGGTGTGAAAATCAAAAATCAAAGACAAAACTACAGAAAATACTCAAATACAGGGCAAAAACCCCTGTACTGGAGTAAAAGTCATGGCAGAAACCCCTTTCAGACCAGGTTACGGCCCAAATTTCAGTAGATTTACAACTTGAAACTCAACATTTGTCACCCCATTGTCGCATTGACACAAAAAGTACCAGGAAAGCCACAAAAGAGGAAATCAAAA